GAACTAGTGGCAATGTATGCGTTGAGGGATGAGAGGCTAAGAACATTTCCCTCCTTCCATCTCTTTTGCATCTCCTCATGAAATTCTCTCTCGCTCTGCTTTTACAGGTTGAGATACTATTAAGGGGAATACAAAGACAAGCCAATTAAAGTCTCCTTCTTCTTCTTCGTTTTTTGGATTGGAAATCTTGGAACATTATAACTGGTTTTCTTGGAGTTTGTGATTTGCATTCTTGGGGAACAAACAACAAACTTATGTTATGTCACGGGCATTCTAAACATGGTCTGCATTTCTTGATTTGTTTCGAAAACATGGTTCACGTTCTTGATTATAATCCGTTTCTCTGATGCATTTCAATCTTTCTTTTTGTGGCTTTGTATGTTGTTTCCTCGGTTTCTGGCGGCAGTTTCTTCGGTTTGACCTGGTTTGATTCTTCCTCAACTTGTTCTTTTTTAGAATCAGCAAAGAAGCGTGATCATCTCAGGTAAAAAAGGGGATTTTTAAATGTTTCCCATGCGATTTTTGTTCGTCTTTGAACAAGCTTCTTAAGGTGATGTGATTTGATGTTGCAGGTGAGCTACTTTGTGACCGAAGAATCGTCATTATCGTCATCAACCCACTTGGAGACATTCCGAAAATGGACTTAGCTTCCAAGAAGAACACACCTAATGTCGCCTCTAAGGAGATAGACCCAAACTTAAAACCTGTACAAGCCACTCCATTTTCGCTTAAACTAGGAGACAATGTTCCTAGGAACCCTCATTTCGATCCCAAGAAGATGGATCCTCTCGTCAGACACCAACCGGCAAAGTCTCCTGAACCTCCCAAAACAAATAGAGGGACCAACGAGGGTGATTTAAAGCAGAACTCCTATTCTAGCGATTGTGATAGCTTAGCAATGAGGAAGAATCCTCCTAAAAATCCCCATTATGATCCCAAGAAGATTGTTCCTTTAACCACACTTGAGACACATTCGCCAAACGCAAAAAATCATCACCACCGTAGGACAAAGTCCCCAGACAACAACAGAGCCCCTAAACCTAATGGGGACTATGGCTACGGTGATAACTCGGTTGGTCCATCAGCTACACCTTTCAAGCCTCACACTGGAGGGGACGTGAGGTGGGACGCCATTAACTCAGTCGCTTCAAGAGGACCTCATATAGGTCTTGACAACTTCAGGCTTCTAAAACGTCTAGGGTACGGGGACATAGGCAGCGTTTATCTTGCGGACCTGCGAGGGACAAATGCAGTTTTTGCGATGAAAGTGATGGATAAAGATTCATTGGCCAGCAGAAACAAGTTGCTGAGAGCTCAGACCGAAAGAGAGATCCTATCCCTGCTTGATCATCCCTTCTTGCCGACGCTCTATTCTTACTTTGAGACCGATAAATTCTACTGTTTGGTCATGGAGTTCTGCAGTGGTGGAAATCTCCATTCTCTCAGACAGAAGCAGCCCAACAGGCGTTTCACAGAAGAAGCCGCGAGGTGAGGCAAAACATAATATCTATTTGGCGTTGAAGATTTCTTATTATCTTCTCTAATGAGTTTGTTGACAGGTTCTACGCTTCCGAAGTGTTATTGGCGTTGGAGTATCTACACATGTTGGGGATTGTGTACAGAGACTTGAAGCCAGAGAACATCTTGGTTCGAGACGAAGGCCACATAATGCTATCTGATTTCGACCTCTCCCTCCGTTGCACATTTAACCCGACCCTCGTCAAGTCCTCCTCAGTCTGCAGCGGTGGAGGTGCTATCCTCAATGAGGAGTTTGCCGTCAATGGTTGCATGCACCCCTCTGCCTTTCTCCCCCGTCTCCTCCCTTCCAAGAAAACCCGAAAAGCCAAATCTGACTCGGGCCTAGGTGGCCTCTCTATGCCAGAGCTCATGGCAGAGCCAACGGATGTGCGGTCAATGTCCTTTGTGGGCACGCACGAGTACCTAGCCCCTGAAATCATACGTGGAGAGGGACATGGCAGTGCCGTGGACTGGTGGACATTCGGGATCTTCCTCTACGAGCTCCTCCATGGAACAACCCCGTTCAAGGGGCAAGGAAACAGAGCCACGCTGCACAACGTGGTAGGTCAGCCGCTGAAGTTCCCGGATAGCCCACACGTGAGCTCAGCGGCGCGTGATCTCATCCGCGGCCTTCTAGTGAAAGATCCTCACAGAAGGATCGCTTACACGCGGGGAGCCACAGAGATAAAGCAACACCCTTTCTTTGAAGGAGTGAACTGGGCTCTGGTGCGCAGCGCTTCGCCGCCTCACATTCCTGATCCTGTCGACTTGGGACCGTACGCTGTTACCAGAGGGAAGGCCAAGGGCCATGGAGTTAGTGATCACTGTAACTCAATTAAGCCTGAGCCTTATGTTACTTGTGCTGCTGGTCCCACCGATGATACTGCTTACATAGATTTCGAGTACTTTTAGACCAAGCTGAAAATTTCTCTATGTTTTTTTTTTGTTCATATTCTTAAATTTTGATGAATACAGATTTGTGATTTTATAAAGAGGAACAATTGACATGATTTCCCCCAAAAATGAGATTTTTTTTACTAAAAAAAAGCGAGTGAAAGCACCTTTTTATGTATGGAAACATTTATAATTGAGATCCACAAAAGCTGTCCGAAGGATTCTTTGAGACAATTAAAATGTCCGGAGAGGCAACATAGCCACTGGTTCCATTTCTTATCATCATCCACACAAAATAAACCCCTTGAAGTTCCTTCCTTTTTGCACACAGAGATGTTGAAACAGAGCTTTGTTTCTCATAACGCCAATGATCTCTATTTCTCTTTCTCCAACTCAAAACTCAATCCTCCAAGCTCTCCAAAGAAACCAAATCGTCTCACCTCATGCGTTCTCAATGTCGGAATCCAAGATATTGCCGAAGTCATTCACAACAAGGTTTAGTCATTTCTCTTCTTTCCTTTGTTTTTTTTGCGGTCATTGTCACTGAAGCCTTTGATTTCATCGTCGTGAAGGTTCTCATAGCTGCTGGATTTTCCGCAGCGATTGGGCAGCTCTCAAAGCCTTTCACTTCTGTGGTTTTTTATAAGAAAGATTTAGACTTTAGAACTGCTTTTCAAGCTGGAGGTTTCCCTTCAACACATTCTTCTGTAAGCACCCTTCTTTTCTTTTGGTAAATTGTGTCTTTGTCTTCTACTTCCTGACATTTTTATTGGCTGATTCATGAGAAATTAGTCTGTTGTGGCTGCAGCAACTGCAATTGCTTTTGAAAGGTCCTTAGCTTGAATCTTTTACTTCTGAATTCCCCACTAAGTATATTCATTCATTCACCTAATGCAATTTCATGAATGGTTTCTGGCTTCAGGGGATTTTCTGACTCTATTTTTGGTCTCACTGTGGTTTATGCTGCTCTTATCATGTATGATGCTCAGGTAACTTGCCCTTTTCGCCAAAATTCGAACTTGCTTTCTTTGCTTTACCTTTTGATCTAGAGGGCAATGGTATATGGTCTTTAGAGATTGTGAATTGAAGTATCAGAATTCCTCTAGTTATCAATAAATCATTGGTTGGTTCTTCTTCTCAATGTGTTGTGAAAACCATTCTGATTCATGCTTGAGTCATTGCTTGTAGGAAATGAGAAGAAAAAAGTTCATTGGTATCTTTTACTAATGTCTTATTATCTCAATGGATTCTTCTAGGGAGTGAGAAGAGAAGTTGGAAAACATGCCAAAGTGTTGAACAAACTAACAAGTAGTACTCGGATAAGTGAAGAGATGAGTTCAATAAAAGGAAACAAAGTGAAGAAACCATTGCAATCAGAAGAGATGAGCGAGAAAGAAGTGTTTCCTCCATTGAAAGAATCAATAGGACATACTGAAGTTGAAGTCATAGCAGGAGCTTTGTTTGGTTTCTTGGTTAGCTTCGGTGTTTATTCCTTTATGTAATAAACAAAGCTCCAAACTTTATATATATAGTGATAAGAAAGTGAGAATTTTTTTAATAATGTTGCAATTCAGAGAAATCAATCAGTAGAAGAAATGTCAAAATCTCAGTTTTATCTTGGATCTGAGAATTGTTTCTTTCTTTTGTTGGTTAGGTTTTTTGCTTAAGAACAATTAAGTAACCCCACAAAAACACACCAACAAAGAAAAGATTTGACAAACCAAAAAAGTACAAAAAGCCCTCTTTTAGGGTTTCTTTTTTCTTCTTTCTTCTTCAAATCGAATGGCACATCGCCACCAATTGTATAGCTACGCAATTCAACCTTCTTA